TTCAATACAAAGTTTCATCAATATGTTTTCGAGTATGGATAAATAAATAAATAAATATTATGAAGCTAAAGTTAAATTAACCACATAATACAAACTAAAAACCTGAAAAGCTACTTCTGGTAATAAATTTAACCTACCGTATTCAGATGTTTCAGGTAATTGTTCGAAATTTTATAATTTTGTTACAGGAGACCACAACATTAAAAAAGATAACTAAATTTAAATTAAAAATGAGACAATACGTATTTTATTTATTTCGATTAGATATTTTTATTTATTTAATGAAAAATAAATCAATCCTTCGTATTTTGTTTTTTATTCGAAGGAAAAATCAAAAAAACATAAAAAACCCGAAACACAGTGGCCTAATCCTATAATGTAAGTCGTTTTAAAAACTAAGGCTCCGGCATCATAAAAGTAGACCTTTAAATTGGATAAATTCGAAAAACTTGAATAAGTGGAAACGCAGTGGCGTAAACTTAAAATGGACCTCATTTTCAAAATCTTCGACTTCGGAAACATAAGAATACACTCTTTTATGATAAAAATTCGAAACACCTAAAGAAATCTAAACACGGTGGCCTAATCTTAAAATGGAGGTTGTTTTCAAAATCTAAGGCTCCGGAAACATAAGAATACACCCTCATATGAAAAAAATACGAAAAACTCAAAGAAATCGAAACGCGGTGGCCTAATCTTTAAATGGAGGTCGTTTTCAAAATCTACGGCTCCGGAAAGATAAGAATACACCCTCATATGAAAAAAATCCGAAAAACTCAAAGAAATCGAAACGCGGTGGCCTAATCTTAAAATGGAGGTCGTTTTCAAAATCTACGGCTCACGAAACATAAAAGTAGACCTTTATATTGGATAAATTAAAAAAACTTAAATAACTCAAAACGCTGTGGCCTGATCATAAAATGGAGCTTATTTTCATAATTTATGGCTAGGAAAACATAAGAATACATCCTTGTATCGAATAAATCAAAAAAATATAAATAAGTCGAAATGCAGTGGCGTAATCTTAAAATGGAGGTTATTTTAAAAACTAGGTACAGGACAGCATAATACTAGTCCCTAATAAATCCGAATAGGTACAATAAATCGAATACTGTAAATTTTTTTTTTAAACTTTACGCATTTTGAAGTTTCGCTTCACGCATTTTTAAGTTTCGCTTAATACTCGAAAGTTCGCTTCCGGTTGGATTTAGAAAAAAATGTTAGATAATTTTAAGCTGTTAAAGATTTAATATATAACCATTTTTTATATATGCTACTTTAAAAAGGATATATTTAACGTAAACCAAAAAAAGCTCGAAAAGTCAATGGTTTTTGGAGCACTGCAGCGAACCCACAAGGTTTTCAAAGGTGGAAACTTTTTTATAGTCATTGCATACCTAACAATATAAAAACCGAATTTGAATTACTCAACCATTTGCAAGCTAGACCCCTTTTTTGTGCTAATTTGACTCGGATATTAACATGACCCCTCACTTGGACTACCTGAGAAATAGGGTGGCCCTTGCCTTGAATGGCATTTGTGTGGAAGGCGCTTTCTGGGGCCTCAAGAACCCTGCTACAATGACCATGTACAAGGGATTGGTTCTGGGTATTGTGTGGTACGCGCCCCCATGTCTGGAAAAGGAACCTCACACGCCGGCAGAAAATCAAGTTGGTTATTTTTCAGCGGACGGCTCTGCTACAAGTCACTAGAGCGTATCGGAGTGTGTCTTATGAGGCAGTGTAGGTAATAGCAGAAAGGGTGTCTCTCGACCTTTTCCTGCAAGAAGATATGTTGAAATATAGATATATAAAGAAAGATTCGGAAAGTATGCCTGAAAATCTCAAGTTGGAAATTGAAGAGGACCCAAGAAAATGAGGAAACGTATATCCGGGAGGATGTACCAGAGGAATGGAATCGGCGGTGGATGACGAACCCGAAAGGATGTATGACGAACATGAGGAAGTATTTCCCGACTGTCCGGTCACGTTTAGAAGCGAAGTGGATCTTCCCGGACTATAGGATCTCCCAATTCCTCACAGGACATAGAGGTTTTCGGGTATACTCCATAGTTATGGCATAGATATCGATCCTCTATACCCTGGCTGTGGTGTCCCGGAGACTGCCGGTCATGTCGTCTTAGACAGCACCGTTTTTGAGGCACTAAGAGCTAAGCTCCTGAGAGAAACCGGGCTATGTATCCTTACAGAGAATTGGTATTCGCAGTTAGTCCCTGCAGAAAATTATCCGAGGGAAGCAATACAAAGGTAGGCCGAAAATGCGTTGAATGAAGTTGAAAAGGACCTCAAGCTGTTTGGAGCAAGCAGATGGAGGACGCGAACGAAAGACGGGGACGACTGGATGGGAGTCTTTGAGGAAGCCCAGGTTCTTGTAGGACCGTAGCCCCAGCAATAAGTTAGTAATTAAGGTGCTGTAAGGAGTTTACGGAGGATTTAGGATTGGTTACGGGAAGAATTTGATGATTTTGTAGATCTTCAAAGCTCAATTCCATATGTCCAAATGGTTCTGATGGTGGTGTATATGAGTTTTAGTAGATATAATGTAGAGCGTTTGTCAAATAAGTTTGTACTAGTCGGGATCCATTAGCAGTTTCTTATATTTTCATCCTAGAATGATAATTCCAATTAAGACGTTATCAATAAGGAATCCTGGGCGACAGATCTGTTAGACTGGGATAGGTGGAATGTTGCTAAACGAAACTTTACGACAGGATGTGGTAAGTTTATGACGAACGGTAAAAATAATTTGTTGGGATTTATTTTGGTTCACATATTTTTACACCATTTATCAATGGCTATAATGTGTGACTTAGTGAATCAAAACGAACCCAAGCAAATTCCAACAAATTACTTTTACACTTCGTCGTAAACTCCTTATTGACAAACGTCTTACTTGGAATCCTCATAATGGAATGTAAAGATAAAACTGTTAATAAATTCCGACTACTACAAAATTTACCTGATAAACTCTCTAAACATCAAATATTTTACAAAAAAACTCTAATACACTACCGTAATCAGACCCATTTAGACATATGGACAGAGCTTTGAAGGTTCAAAAAATCATCGAATTCTTCTCGTATTTAATCCTTACAATCCCTAATCCTCCGTAAAATCCTTAAACCTCTTTATTATGTCACAAATACAATTATCCAAAATAACATCAACATTCCGTTTGTCGAAGATTCGGCCCGAATTAGATATTCTTATTTTAATTCCAAAATCTTTTTTAATATGACCTTAGTGCACTCTGTTTTTACATATGGGTCAGAAGCGTAGCCCTCCACAAGAGATGATGAGATAAGACTGCTAGTATTCGAAAGAAATTACTGAGGGAGATTTTTTGAAGACTGAAACACCTGATGACAATTTTATTAAGCCTGAAAGACCAAAGGGCAGATCAGGTGGTGGGGATGGAGGATGACAACATGATTAAGAAGATTTTGACCGATGTGGTTTACAGCAAGCAGAGAGCTCAAGTAAGCACATTCTAATTTATTAAAATGCATAATTATTCAGTAAATTATTGTTAAAACATATTGCTTTTTTTAATTTTTTCTAACAAAGGCTGGTCAAATTGGCTCTATAGCTTCCAAAGCGTGCTGACTAATGGTCTGTTGTAATACTTGATTGTTTACATATGGTTAAAGAAATGGGTTCTTTATTTAGGTTTAATATAGAAATATTTGCATGATAACTTATCAGGTAACTAGAACCTAAAACAAGGACCTAGAATTGTGTAGTTAAACAATTTGATTTTATAAAATAAAAGTAAAAACTCTAATAAGGCCATTTATTAAATATAATAATACTATCAATTGAAACTACACTATACTACCATTCTGCAGTGCTGCAAATAGGCTTGAGGAAAATGTATATCTGATTTAGGATTATTGCAGGTCCAAGTTTATTTAAAAAAAGAAGTGTGAAATACAATTAAGTTTATTTTAAGTAATGTAAAGGAAGAATTGTTTATTAAATTTACAAGGGTGAATAAGCTTCAACTTAAATTATTCTTTTTTTTTTACTTTATTTGGACTTTTGTTTGAGTTTTATTTCCTGTGGAGGTAAAACTGTACTAAATGAATACTTCAGTTACGACAGTTTTAGCCTCACAGAAAAAACAGAAGAATCTGAGGCATGTATAGAGCTGATATATTGTAAATGAAAACAATAATTTTTGAAGAAGCCTATTCAGCATTGTTTATTTAATTAAGTGATGTACATGTTTATAACTATGTATTGAGACTTAATTCTTATATTTTATATCGAAAGTGAGATGTGAATTTACATACACTGATTTAATCAACTAGCAAGCTGTGAAAACTAAAAAAAAAAAAATATATGACATTGAAAGATAAAATGACATCTTAAAATTTGAATTAAACATTCAATAATTTAATTTCAAAAGTGAGTGATAATATTAATTTTCTGTTCCTCACAAAAATGTTTCCATTTTTAACTTGCAGATTGTAAATCATTTGATAAGAATCACAAAGATAGAATAGTGAATGTTTTGACCATCATTTCTCATAAAATAAAAAAAAAATAGAAAAACAATTTTTTATTCATATATTAAATGGTTATTTTAACTTACATTTCTATTTTAATTGATTAATGATTTTGTTTAAAGATAATTTAAAAACTATTTTATAAATGCACTACATTAATGATTTATAAAAAAAATATGGAGAAGATATTATGATATAAAATATATGAAAACATTCTGACTTATGTTGTTTACTGTATAGCTTAATAATATGTATTGAATAAATGGTTAGTTAGATGAAAATTATCGTTAAAAAGAAACAAAAACTAGGAAATAATAAAAAAATTCCTACAAAACCTAATATTTAAGTTAATATCATATTCACTAAATTACTAAATATTTTAAGAATAGATTTTTTTAGATTCATATTATAAACAAGAATTTTGAATGGACATGAATTAATTTAACCTAGCATAGTTTGGTTTTGTACCTTTTGACTATGTTTTATTACATTTTCCGGCCAAAATGCATTTGTTGGTGAACTTTTCTTATTGTTTTCTTTTTCTTTTTCCTCTTTAGTAATAGAACGATGAGTAGATGATGCTAAGGAAAGGGCAGACAGGGAACTTCTTCTAGAAACTTGCTCCCATAGAGTTATCTGTTTATTGTATAACTCAGCAATATGTTCAGGTACTAACTCTGTACCCCAACCGCGATGCTTGAATACAAAAGAAATTATTTATTTCTCATATAAATAACATGGACTTTTTTCAAAAGGGTATATTCATTTTGGAGAACGATTTTATCCTTAGTAAGAATACATAAAAACTCTATTTTTTTTTTTACTTCTATTTATATATATTTTTTATGAAACCAACTATGACAATGTTTTAATCAAGTTAACATAGTTTCTGGTACATACACAAAACAGTATCACAAAAGCATTATCAACACCTACAACAAACAGTTTTGCAAAACGGCAAATATAATAATCATATTATTAAGCTTATAAAATATAATATTAAAATCACTATTAGAGATCTCACAATGATCATTCTCTCAAAAAAAAATAATAAGAAAAAGCCAAAAAGATATTAATTTTATATAAAATATATAACATCATTTGCTAATGATTTTAGTTTATTGTCTTTGTCTTTTTAACAGGAACTATGTTGACTTGAAAATGGTCCAGGAGCCTGAAGTGCTGTCAAAGGTGGTTTAATAAAAAAAAATATATAAGAATTAAAATTTAAAAAATGTGCTTATATATTCTTTCTAAAGATATAATTATTAGGAGATATTAAACCAATTGAGAAATTAAAAAATATTTTGATGAAATCCTAATAAATTTATTTAACTAAGTATTTGTGTATGATTCATTAGAAAAAAAAAATATAATATACACATATTTAAATTGGATTCTGATAGTTTTAGCTACTATAAAAGAAATAAATTGAAATGCACAGAAAAAAAAAAAAAGGAAAATGAAGTAAAAAACATATTTCTTTAAAATTAAGAAACAATGATTTATGAAGGTCATACATTTACTTTGTTTATTTTAGGGACTGGGTACTACAATTTAATTATTTAACATAGTACTTTTGGAAAATAAAATCATTGTATATTATTTATGTAGGTACTATAGTATATGAAATCATCAACAATCCATTTTGAAGTAAATTATTGAAGTTTAGACACTTTTATATAGCCTATAGACGTTCATACTCTTTTAAATATAGTTAGCGAATTTAGATATTGATTATTTAATGTAAACCTTATATTCTCCAGCTTTTTTCCTCAGCTCAATAACTTCGCTGAACCATGAGTCTTGTTGTTCATTTTCAAGCTCATGTAGTATTTGTGGCTCAGGTTCTCTCTTAGGTTTAAATCTTCCTTCTATATAATCGTATTGGGAAAATGGTCGAAATTTTTTCTTATATTCAGTCTTGAATTCAACATTGTCACTAAAACAATACAATAAAATAATTCTAATTGTAGTCTTAACAGTAATTACTTTATTTTACATTGTTCTATAGTATTTATTTTTTGTCAAGATTGTATGCATAATGTATTCTTTAACAAGTTTATTTTATTCTGTATTAAAAATGAACAAGCATTTACACAAACATTTGTTAACATTTGTACAAATATCTATACTATTTAACTAATATAATATTAAACTGATAATATATTATTTATATTTAGTTTGAATTTTTATTTGCTAAAAAGAAATGTACTGTCTTCATTTGTGTGAAGTTATTTATTTCAGTCTTGATGTTTAAATTTTGGAATGGAATATAACTTGGAATGACAAGTTATTTATTACTATTCAGACTAAAGCAATAATATTATACTTCTCTTTTCTCTCTAGTTCCGTGTCTGCTTTCAGCGTAAAGCGTTCCTTAGCAGTCCACCATTTCCACTCCTCCATCAGCATGGTGTACTTTATCACCTGGACATCAATTTTCCTTTATCCTAGGCACTTCATGTATGTATGGGTCTACCCATTTTTCTTCTTCCTACTTTATTTTTTTTTATAAACCATTTTATTTGTTTGCTCTCCAGGAGTCTGCTAGCATATCTAAACCAGCACAATTGACATTCTTTAACTCTTCCCTGAAATGACACCAGTTTTAATTCCACTCTAACTCATTTGTTATGTAAGCAGTCACATCTTGTTTTTTCTATATTTTGGGACCTCCAAATAGTTCATTACTCATTTTGGTGCAATCCAGTGTTCTTCCTAATTTAAGAGGATAAGGAGAACAATTTTTATACACCACTATATATTTATTTTTTCTAATTATTTAATTGATTTGGTGATATGCAGGGGTACCATTCCGAATCCTGCTGTTTACTTTGTGTTTGATTCTTTCATCTCTGCGTACTATCGTACCTAAATACTGATAGGTGTTTTTATATAGTCATGCCCACTAGAGGATCCAGGATTTGATTTTGGGGGAGGGGCTTTATATATATATATATATATATATATATATATATATATATATATATAATATATATATATATATATATATATATATATATATATATATATATATATATATATATACGTATAACCATTATTACCTTAGGTGAAAATGAAAGAAACTAACTATCTATATGAAATGGAGTTCAAGTGATTTTTTAAATCCTTTGCTTTATATGATTAAAATGCTCCATTTTATAAGACATAGTTATATTTAGCCATTTTGGGGTGTTCTCTTCTTAGATATTTTTAATATTTTGTCCCACAGCTGATCAATCAGCTGATGAGCAAGGTTGTGTTTCCAACTCAGGTCTCATTATTCACTGCTTTTTGAGAAGATTCTCTGTTATTATTATCTTAAAAAAGGCAAGAATACACCATAAAGTTGATATTTACTGTGTACAGTAATCAAAATACAGATTTTTTTTATTCATTTTTTTTTTATTATTATTGTTATTATCATGAATATCACTAGTAGAGTGACTAGTAAGAGAACTAGGTCGTTAGTCCCGACACATTCATCTTCTTCTCCAACCAAATAAAAGCCTTGTAAGTCTCGTTAAACACCTCCAATGACACCTTTTAGCTCCGAGGAACATGAAAACCAGCCAGACCATCACCACAAGAGAACATTGAAGATCCTCAGCCTCAACCAGGTACATCATCACAAGCGACAATTGAAGAATCCCCTTTCACACACAAACCCTATCAAGTGCTTCAGAATAACAGTGAGGTAATGGAGTCCGCACCGAAACCAAGCGACCCCCGACCTCCACCAATATTCGTTAAGAATATAAAGCATTTTCAATTACTGTGTTCTCAACTAAACAAGATAGTAGGCTCCGGAAGCTACTCATGTATAAGCAGAACGAATGACATCAAAATATCACCAGATATAGCTGAGATCTATAGAAAAATTGTGAAGTCTCTAACAGAGACCAAAGCAGATTTTCACACGTATCAATTGCGGCAGGAGCGAGCTTTAAGAGTAGTTGTAAGAAACCTACACCCCTCAACACCAACTGAAGCAATAGAAGAAGAACTAAAAACTTTAGGTTTCAAAGTGCACCAAATAACAAATGTTCTAAAGGAGAGTAAGGAACAGCCAGGAGTAAAAGTTCCTCTACTTCTATTTTTTATAGACCTGGAACTGACTCCCGGGATCGAAAAAATCTATGAAGTTACACGATTACACTACACAAGTGTAAAAGTGGAGATGCCGTATCCTAGAAGGAATATCGTCCTTTGCCATAATTGCCAGGCGTATAGCCACACGAAGACGTATTGTCATCATTTGCCGCGTTGTGTAAAATGCGGTGGACAACACAAAACTGTTGAGTGCACAAAATCTAAACAAGAACCTGCAGTCTGTGCTTTGTGCCATGAAGGACATCCGGCGAACTACAAAGGCTGCCAGATATACAAGAATATTAAATCCAGATACCAGAAATCCCGATACCAAGAAGAAACTGAAAGATCCGGATCAAGAAAAGAACCTTCCAAAACCATAGACCCGAAGGTGTCTTTTGCACACCTATTAACAGGTAAGAAAGATATTACATATTGTGAGACCCTGCCTCAACAACAATATACACCACAAAATTCTCAACCCCACCCTCAACATCCTTCTCTAACATCACCTAATCCTGAACAATTTTATCAACACCATATTCCTCACATTAATCCTCCACCAAATATCACAGACCTGACCAGTTGAATTACATCTTTCCTCTCTGAATTCAGATCCCTTGGTTCTTCTTTGATATTCGTTCTCACCAATCTTGTTTCACATTTTATACCTCCCCCAAAAAATTCTAGCCGAACTATCTGAGAACATCAAGAACATTGACATGGCACTAATTACTGAAACTCGACTAACCACACAGCACTTCAAAATACCGTAATACCTGCATATCGTACTGATCACCCTGACGGAAGAGCACATGCCGGTATTGCTGTCATTGTACATCAATCCCTCCACCATCACCTGCTCCCACTACCGACACAAGATTTCCTACAGTCCACTGCTATCGTAATAAAAACCTTCTCCTTTCCGGTTACCCTCGCGTCAGCGTATTGCCCTCCTAACCGATCCTTATCCAATGCCCAGTTCAGTTCTCTCCTCAATTCCTTAGGACATCACTTCATCTTGAGTGCAGACTTAAATGCCAAGCACCGACAATGGGGTTCCAGAACCACAAATTCTCGTGGCCGAACTCTGCTGTTTTCACATCCTTTCCAATAACTCCCCTACCTACTGGCCCACAGATCCTAACAGTAATCCTGATATTCTTGATTTCTTTATCCACAGCGGCTTAAGTCCCCTCCATTGTTCCATTACACATATAAATGAACTTTCCTCTGACCATAGTCCTCTTAATGTTCCACTTGAACCCGTTCCCAAACCTTCTCCACCGTCATATATTAGGTACCCAGTTAACTGGGACCTTTTCCGCCAAATCATCTCCGATAAAATCGATCTCAATATATCTTTAAAAACTTCCGATGAACTAGATAGTGCCGTAAATTCCTTTACTACCACAATCCAACAAGCCGCCTGGTCTGCCTCCTTCCCAAAAGACTCCTCCAGAATTCCTAGAAAGACCATTCTACCCTGACACCTCCTTGACCTAATCCATATCAACGCCGTACCAGATTATTGTGGAAATGTACTCGACATCCTACCGACCGCTACTCCTATAATTATTACTGCAAAAAATTAAAACTTCAATTAGCGATCTTGAGATCACTATCCTTTAACTCCTACCTATCCTCTCTCTCTTCTTGCGACAATTCCCTTTGAAGAACCACAACAAAATCCTAAAACCTCACTACATTACCCATCCCTTCAGACGAGATGACGGCTCCTGGGCAGCATCTGACGAAGATAAAGCTGAGGAGTTCATCATTCACCTATGCAGTACATTTATTCCCCATCCGGAATCCCATCCTGCCCACACCGTAACAGTAGAAGAATTCCTTATATCACCTATCCCACTTTCCTTGCCTCCTGAAGCAATTCATCCAATTAAAAAAACTAATCCTCCGTAAATCTCCTGGATATGATCACCTTACCCCTCAGATCCTTCGACAACTTCTATCCAAAGCAGTCATATTCCTTACATATATCTACAATTGCATACTACGTACCACCCACTTTCCTCAATTATGGAAACACTCCACCATTATCCTTTTTCCAAAACCAATCAAACCACCCAACAGCTTGACATCCTATAGACCAATTAGCCTACTCCCAATCCTTTCAAAAATCTTTGAAAAGATCCATTTGAAACGACTCCTACTATTCATAGAATCCCAAATCTTCCTTCTCATTAGTTTGTTTTTCACTCAAAACATTATACTGTTCAACAAGGACTTCAAGTCGTTGATCATATATCAGCAGCCCTAGAAAACAAGCAATACTTTTCGGGTGCATTTCTGGACAGCTCAGGCTTTTGATCGGGTATGGCACCCTGGGCTGTTCCTATCTCTCTGACTGATCCTTTTGAGTACGCTGCGGAACGGCATTTTCCGATATTTATCCAATTAAAGCCGGTGTTCCTCAGTGCAGCGCCTTGGGTCCCGTACTTTGCATCCTCTTTACCGCTGACATCTCTGCTCATTCCGATACTTTCCTTGCAACATTTGCTGATGACACCGTAATCCTATCATCCAACTCAGATCCTGAAATAGCATCCTTAAATCTACAAAGATACCTCTCACTTATTGAGCACTGGTGTGATGAATGGCGCATTAAAGTGAATGAGTCAAAATACAAACATATTACCTTTACTCTCCTAAGCAGTTCCTGACCACCAGCACACTTTAATTCCATCCAGCTTTCTTACTCAGACACTGTCCGGTATCTTGGCTTTCTCTTAGACCGAAGGCTGACATGGAACCCACATACAAGACTCAAAACACAAGAACTCAACCGGCGATATGGCCAGCTATATAGACTACTGAACAGATAATCTCAACTTTCAATTGACAACAAACCACTGATCTACAAGACAATACCGAAACCTGTTTAGTCCTACGGACTGGAACTGTGGGGGGCAGCAAAAGTTTTTAACATCAAACGCATTCAATCCTTAAGTTTAAAGTCCTTCGAACAATAGTTGATGCTGCGTTCTTTGTAACCAACCAAACCCTACACCATGACCTTAATATTCCATTTATCCTAGACCTTATACCTCAAAAATTTTCCAAATTCCACCAAAACTTTACATATCATCCAATCCAATTGCACAATCTCTCTCTAGCACTACTCATCCCTACAATCGTCTCCTCCCTACAATAATATTAAGAATTTACCTCTTGAAACACTTAAATGGCTCTTTAATTACTTCAATCATATCTGGTCCACTGTACACTTCCCAACTTCCTGGCTCAGTTCTTTGGTTATTCCTGTTCTACAGAACGGAAAAGACAAGCCACCCCCAGACAGCTATCATCCTATATTCCTCACAAGCTGGTAAAGTAAATAATGGAACGGATGGTAAATAAGAGATTGATGTGGATTATAGAAACAATAAACAACAATAAATTATATATTATTTCTTTCGGAGTTATAGACTCTATAAAAAAAAATCCACGAATGTGTTTGAAATTAGTAACTGGTTATCAGACAATTGTCTGTTGACTGTTATTCCAAATTTCAGCTGACGTTGTGGAGGCATTTATGGAAAGTATAAACCTCTTTCAAGATTCGGTTTTACACTGGTTAAACAGTTTTATGAATGTGGCTCGCTGTTTTTTATATTGAAGTTTTCTAATGTCATAGATTTCTGAAAATTCTTATACGCTGTACGACGTTCTTTGATGGCTTTTTTTACAGGAATCATTAAAGCAAGGAACAAGTGGTCTTCTTGAAAGACCCGAGGTGATTGGTATCGATTCTTTATCCTCTTGTATGATCTTATTGGAAATGATTCCACAGCCCGTGTCGGTATTTACTTCGGAAGGAGAGATTTAAGGTGGAGAAGCCAGATAAGCGAAAATATCCCAATCTGCTCTGTTTATTACCCATCTCGGTTTTATGGAAATATAAGTTTAGGGAAATAAATGTCGGGTATTACAGTCCTGTCTATAATGTTATAGAGAGTGGAGTTGCAAAACGAAAGGTCGAGGGCTGAATTTGTTCCATAGCTACATCTGAGGAATGTTTGCTCTCGAGTGTTGAACAGGAGAAGATTAGAGATGTTTAAAAAATCTTCTATCATTTTACCCCGCATAGTTATGTCTTGGGATCTCCATAGAGGATTGTGGCCATTTAGGTCCTTGATTAATAAAACAGGACGAGGAAGTTGGTTGTAAATATCTGACAGATGTTGAAAATCTATTGAACTATCTTGCGGCATGTATATATTGCAAATTGAACAGGTCAAACCGTGGTGAACTCTGACTGCAACATATTGAAAATAGGTGTTAGTTAATTGGAAATAATTCCGAATATACAGATTTTTGTACAGCTGTTAGAACTCCGTGGTGACTATGGGTTCGGACAATCTTTTCTATATATTTCAACAATTTTAAAGGTAAAGTTGTCTTTTACAGTAAGATGAGTCTCTTTAAGAGCAAAGAAAACGGGTAAGTATCACATATTAATATTTTTAAATCATTAAAGTGAGTTTTCAAACCATTGCAATGCCATTGAATAAACGACATGGTTGGGAATTGTTTTAAATGAATATAACGACGCAATATATATTATACTTAACTATTTTTGCTTTTACTAGTTAGATTATCTTTTGTAACTTTTCCCTTTTTATAAGTAGCTCCGGTATAGCCGTCATATGTGTTCGGAGAACCGACCTCGATGTCTTCGACGCTACCCTCAGGTTGGCCTTTATCCCAAGATTTCTGAAATGAAAACGCGGAGGACGGGGATTGGGATATAGGTGTTATAAGGAAGGAGGCAGCGGGAATAGAGAGGTGAAGGGAGAATGAGGGAGGCAAGGAGGAAAAGGAGGGGGCAGAGGAACAGGATTTGGGTGAGAAAGGGGGAAGGCTGAGCGAGGACTGCGGCTAAGTACCTGGTGACCTTGGCCAGTTGTACGTTAGGTACAGAGGATTTTGATGTGCTGGGTTAAGGGGAGAAATTATTTGAAGCTAACTTAGCTTGGTGAATCGGATAAGATTCGAATTTATAGAATATCTGTTTCCTGAGTTTTTATAATTTTTTTAGACATATTTACTTCTGAGAATAACTTATGACGATTTTGGGGCTTTTCTATTTTATAAATATTTTTTAGTTTCATTATAAGATACTTCCTTCGTAAACTTGATGGTTTCAATTCCCTTATTTATCTGGTAAAGAGGACATTTTTAAACCAAACTATTGTGTTCCTGACCACGATTGGTACAGAGGGGTACTTAGGTGCATTTTTCATCAGTACCTGTTTTTCTTTACCACACTGAGAACAGATACACTTAGGGTTTGTGCACTTTAATGCATGATGTGAAAAAGTAAGACATCTATTACACCTAATCGGATTAGGAGTGTACATTTGGATCTTAATATTTTGATAATCTATTTTAAGAGTTTCTGGTGGCAATGGAGACGGGAAGGTCTATATATGAATGAGTGAATTTTTCGTTGCCATTTATTTTTATGTTCATTCTATAGATATCTATAATTTTCCCAATAAACTCCTCAATTATTTCATTTTTGTTTATGTATTGTAAGTCGAAGCATCTGATGACTCCCTTCCTATAATTTAGAGTGGCGTGTGCGTATACGGTTATATTGAATTGGTCAGCAAATGTCTTGCCATCTAATAGTTTTTGTGATTGTTTACTATTACTAGTTTCTATTAGTAAATTTCCGTCCCTTAAATTTTTAATGTTTTTAACTTACCAGTCAAAATTAAGAATGAATTTATTTATCAAAAAAAAAGGGGATACCCTTTGAAACCATTCATCGCCTTCCCTATTTACTATCAAATTAGTAGGTGAATTTTTTAAGGCTTGACTTACATGAATAGGGTCTGGTGGAGTTTTATCCGACCTCTTTTCAGACGTTTATTGGAGCTATGAAATTTCCCGTCCGTTTTAATAATATGATATAATCAATCTCAAAAAAAAAAAAAAGAAAAGAAAAGAAAAACAATCATCTGTAATAAAAAAATAAAAAATAATGTATATATATATATATATATATATATATATATATATATATATATATATATATATATAAGTAAATGGAACAAAAAGTAAAAAACTGAAAGTAATCTAATCTGAATAGTAGACAAGCTTGACAATTCATACGGAGTTGCGTAAATCTCTCTCTTCGAAGTCTACTATCTATCTGAAGATGGCTGTGTTCTCAACTCGTCTATCAGGTTTCGTCTATTTTTCAACGGAATCTCTTTGATTATTCACTGAATACAGTTCACGTGTATATCAGGGCAGTTGATATTTACTGTTTATAAATTATTGTTGATATTATTTGGCTTTTAGTAAAATAGTTATGCCACTATTCAAGCTATTTATGACCACCACCCCGGACCATCTCCTTCCTTCATAAGGCAACATATTAAAATTATATATTATAATTTTAATTATATTGTTGATATCTTTTTGTTATTATTTTATTTTTCATGACAGAGAACTAATGGAATCTGCAACAATAACCAGGGAACCTAGGCCTCCTCCGATATTTGTAAAAAAATATAAAAAAATAAAACAAATCCAATTATTATGTACACAACTAAACAAAATCTGCTCTGGCAATTATTCTTGCCTCAATAGGACCAACGCTACAAAAATAATACCAGATGCTGCTGAAACATACCGAAAAAAATTTCAAGTACCTATCAGAAATGAATGCGAATTTCCATACGTACCAGCTGAGGCGGGAGAGATTTTTACGAGTGGTGATAAGAAATATACACTCCTCAACCCCAATTGAAGTGATAAAAGAAGATCTAACGACGCTTAGTTTCAAAGTACATCAGGTAACCAACGTATTGAAGGATAATAAGGAACAGTCATTGGTAAAAAATAAAATTCCACTACCTTTATTTTTTGGTGGACCTAGAGCCATCACCTGGTATCGAGAAAATATAAGAAATCAAGAGATCATACTGCATTATTGTCAAGATAGAGAAGCCATAACCAAAGAGAGAAGTGCCACAATTGCCAGGCGTACGTGCACACGAAGAATTATTGCCACCACTGCTGCGTTGCATGAAATGTGCTGAACAACACAAATCCGCAGAATGCACCAAACCGACACAAAATCCTGCTGTTTGTGCCCTATGCCTAGAGAGACACTTGGCCAACTACAAAGGCTGCTAAACTTATAAGAATCTCAAATCCAAATACCATAAGACCCGGATTCAAGATAAGACAACCTGACCAAGAAGAAAACCTTCCGTAATAGTAAATAATAATATATCATTTTCCGAACTACTTGGAGGTATAAACCAAACTAATAAATGTGAAACCCTGCCAATAACCACTTCAACCCCAACCTCAATATCCTGTTAATCCTAAGATAGCTAACCAATAACTCATCAACCTCAAAGTCCTCCTCCATCAAATTCCACAGACACAGACAACAATTTGTGGTCATCATTCGTCATTGAATTCAAATCAATGGTTACCCCACTATCACTCCTTACAAATCTTGTATCTCACCTCATCCCTCCTGTAAAAAATCCTTAAATGATTCCCATCAAACTCATATCAATTCTCCTTTGTAATGCAAATGGTGTTTTGGAATTACTTCACAAAATTATACAAAAGAAAGTTAATAAAAACAAATATTAATGAATAATAATGGGATACAACTCTTGTATTCTTATTTTAGTATTATTTTATTAGCTTTGTAATTATTCTAATATATATTTTTTTACCTTTGCAACTTCTCTCCTTTACTAAATGACTCTTGTATTATTTTTTCTTCACCTGCGTAGTCACATTCCTGGTTTGAAACAAGTGGTTCTAATTCAGCTGTTCCTGTTTTGTTAAAAAAGAAGTTAAAATGATCAGTTATTCTATTTCAGAGTATTCAATATTATATAATAATTACAACTGTACAAATTTCCAAAGTCTTTAGCAGAAGGATTTCTAAAAGAAAAGCAGTTTTGAATTACTTATATAGTAAACCAGCCATACCGAGAAAAAGGAATGGGATCCAAACCCACCATCTTCAGATACGAAGTTATTTTGGAAAGTTCATGTATATAATTTTTAGACCCAAGGTAGCGTCCTGGGTCCCGTCCTTTAAATCTTCTGTACCGCTGATATTCCTCTTCATCCACCCCTTCCAACATTTACTGTCGCCGGTATTCTATCATGCTAATCAGATCCCAAAATGCTTGCATAAATCTACAAAGAGCGCCTCTCTCTGACTGGAAATCGGGTCAACAAATGGTCCACCAAAGTAAGAGAATCCAAGTGCAAACACATTACTTTTACCCTCCGTCGTAAATCCTTTCAACCAATTTATTTTAACTACATCTAGCTTCCTTTCTTAGACTCAGTTTGATATCTTGGATTTCTTTTAGACAAAAGACTGACGTATAACCTACATAATTAACTTAAAAGACAAATGCTTTGGCCATTGCGACGATTTGCCCATCTATATAGACTAATGAACAGAAAATCTCAACTTTCTATTGAAAATGAATTACTGGGCTAGTACTGTGGAGGAAAGCTGAATTTTCGAACACTAAACGCATACAATCATTCCAGTCCCAAGTTCTTCCGACAATAGTCAATTATTAATTTTCTTAAAAATGTATAATCCTACACCATGTCCTGATTATCCCATTCGTTCTAGACCTTGTCCCAGACAAAATTTCCAAATTTAACTAAAACCTTGCATACCATCAAAATCCCTATCTAGACTCCACACATCTCTACAAGCCTCTTCGAAGATCGAAACGGCAGTGGCCACGCAACATTTTGTAAAAATGTATATGCTGGTTTTTAAAATTCCTAGGAACGCCTGAGGGTGGTGAAGAGGAGCGCCAGATCGATCATTTCACTTACGGTCATCCCCACTGCTCTCAGATGGTATGACCAAACCTAAAGAACAGATGGTTGCATGTTGTGAAGTCAAGTTGGGTTGGAGTTAAAAAATATGTTCACTTTCTCGACAGGCTCCGAAAAAGTTATGAGAGAAACAAAAATTTGAGACAAATTTAATTTTTCATTTGAATTAAATCAGAGAATAGAAATAAGCCAGAAAAACAAGGACAAACAAGTCTAAAGAATGAAAGTTTATGTCACAATAATGGCTGATTGGTTTTTTTTTCCTTCTTTGGGGCATCTTCCACCGAGTATTGATCCTCCCAGACCTGACAGTTGACGAGATGTTCTTAGCCATCTGAAACCTAGTAAAGCATGCGTTCGGCCGAATTCGGTCCAAGGTGGGCAATGAATATTTACAATGGCCATACTCAAATTTTGCTGGCTGTGGGTGAGGTTTTTGTTTTGCTTCAAATTGGGTTTTTAGGACGGAAAACCAACCTTATTAATCTTATTTATAACCAGGTGACATTTTCTTGTTTTCAAACAAATGCAAGAGAGTACTTCGGAAGTGGCATTAAAGTTGCTAGAAGCCTATCAAAACAGAAACGACGTGGCAGTTGAAGAATCTAAAAACCGAATGATTCCAAAGAGCCATCAGCAAATATGGAGAAAACTCAAGTTTGCTGTGTTTCAGTATTTTAAAGATCGCCTGATTAAAGGTAACATAAACATTCCAGAAAAATACCTCGTACCGTGCCACACCTCAGCCACTCAGTTAAGCCACTTAGATTAATAACAGGTTTCATACAATATATACATCAGTCTGGCAGGTGGTTATGATACAGATACATACAAAAAATAATAAGAAAGGATACAGATATTTACAAACAATATAGAGAGAAAAATGAATATAATAATAAAAAGTCTCTTATCATTCAACTATTTGTTAGCGATTGTTTTTACATAGCCTTAAAATTCTTATAAGCTGGCGGTAGTTTTAATGTGTAGTAGGTGGTTCAATAGGAGTTCTTTGAAGGAATTTGTGGGCATTGTTTGGCCTATGGAGATAGGTAAGGAGTTCCAAAAGGAGGTAGCGCGAATGACGAAGGATTTGCTGAAAGAAGTTGTTTTATTGGAGGAAATATATAGGTCGATAGGTCGAGATTTAGCATTGAGAGAGTGGATAGAGGAGCGTAGATTAAAGAGTTCTAGGATGTAAAGAGGAGTTTTGGTTCTGAGGACTCGGAAAAGAAAAAGAAAACAATAAGGAATTGCCATGAGGAAGTAGGATAAAGCAGGTACGTCTGGGAATCCCAAAGATGAATCTAATGATGCACTTCATGAGTCTCTTCAATCTTGCCTCCAGTCTTGTGAATCGCCATCCATAAACCAATCAACCGTAGCCCAAGTGGGTGAAAACAAAGGATGTTACAAGTAGCTGTGTGGTTGTTTTTGGAATTGAATCACGGAATGTTAGGAATTATTTAAGGATAGTTATGGACTTTCGGGTGATCTGGAAAATGTGGTTATTCCAAGAGAGGTTTTGATCAAACATTACTCCGAGGTTTTTGATTATTGAAGAGAAATTGATGGGGCAGTTATTGAGGTAAAGTAAAGGAGAGAAAGGAAGGTAACTAATGAGATGCCTGGAACCGATGAGGATAACTTTAGTTTTATCTTCTTTCAGCTTCAGTTAATTTTTTCTACCCACCTGTGGTGTATCAATATCCTCTGGCAGTTTTCGGATATCCTCTGGCATTGGCGGATAGCCTCTCAGAAAGTTAGAGCGATAGGTAAATTTGAAAATCGTCTGCATATACGTGATAGTGGTAATTATGAATGGAATTAGGAAGGTCGCTAATATAAATTGAAAAAGGGTCGGAGAGAGTGAGGAGCCCTGATGAACACCTTGAGACAATTGAAGGGATACGGAAGGAGATTTGTCAGGAGTAACAACTATCTGGGAGCGATTGGATTGAAAAGAGAGGAACCATATTATAAAGCTTCTGATATGGCAGGCTTTGGAGTTTGGAAAGGATGATCTTATGATTGACAGAATAAAAGGCTTTGGAAAAGTCAAAAAGGATTAGGATGGAAATTTTCTGTTTATCTATGGCGAATTTCAGGTATTGGGTAATCTATAACAAAGGCAGGTTGTGTGGAGTATTGGGAAAGAAAACCGGATTGTAAAGGATTGAGGAGACTGTTTTGCTCGAGAAAGTAATTAAACTGAGAGTGAATTGATCTTTCTAGAGGCTTAGATAAATTTGATAAAGTGTGGATGCATATAAAATGGGAATGAGTGAAATGGACAGAAATTGATTTACTTGCAAGTTTAGTGTGAATATTTTAAAAAAATATTCAAGTGAGAAATGTCATAGGAAATTTAAGATATTAATATATATTGTTGTTATAAATAATAAAATGTTTATTGAAGTTAGGAAGCGGATATAAATACCGCCTAGTTTATCAGCTTGAAGGATCCGCTTTTTGTGAACTGGTGCAGGTGGTTGAGATCCCTGTGCCGGGTTGGAGCCAGGAACTGGTCTAATAGCACCCATACTCAATGATTTTCTTGGAGGACCGCTGCTTTCCTCTTCCTTCCCTCTCTTGCCGCGTGGCCAAGCAAACTGGAGTCGATATTCAGTACTTATTCTTGATATAGCATTCTTTAATCCACCACCATCGCAGCTTTCAAGGGGGAAATTCGATATCTATAAAACACCAATAAAATGAAATGATTGTCTATCAACAATTTTCACATTGACCACTTTTTAAACCAATTAATATAGAAAATGAGCTAGACTACTTCTTTATAAGCATATATGTTAGAGCACATGAGATATATTTTTAAACCTACTAACTTAACAAAACATAAATATTAAGATATTTATTTTTTTTGTTTTACATAATTTACACTTGTCGTTTCCAAAAAAATCACTCTCCCTTTTAATAAATATTCTAAACGAGAGGAATAAGAATCATAATTGATTTTGTGAATTAAATATAGTGTATATTTAAAAGTGCCTTAAATTCATTTCACTTGATGGACTTGATTTTACTATGATCAATTATGTTTTTTAGATGTCTATAGTCTTATTCGCTTCCTTCAGAGATGATTCAGGGAAAATATGACAATGTATTGTCACTTTCCCCCCTAGCTCATACATTTAGGCTAAATTATAATAATTTTGTTTAGATCCATCATAGAATTTAAATTTGGTCTATAATCAGAAATAATCAAATATTAATATGGAATGAGAAAGTTCGATATCTCAATTGTAGGATAAACTTATTTGAATGCCCAGTTTTATAATTCGTGTGTATATATTAAATTGGATAATAGTAAAATGAAATAACCTTTGAAAAGCTTGACCACATCTCTTTTAAGGTATAAACGATCATGAAAAATATGTGACATTTAAACTTAATCAAATTCAAATTAGAGCCAATTGATTGAGGTGATCATTGAAAATAATGTTAACAGGGATACTGCGTATACTGTGCAGCATGTACATATGAGCCATCTGCTTATCAATTAATTTAAATAGCTCTGTTTTTACCAACTAAGTGATCAATGATTCAATAATCTAAGGGTAATAGATTCTGCTTTATACTTATTTTAGTAAAAATAAATTATTTTATTTTTCAAAGAATCACGATCTACAATCTTGCCATCACTTTTAAGTTAGCTCTGTGGCTCTCACTAACTCCACTTTCCCTCCTCCCGGCAGATGGCTTCTTTATCGTTGAACCTTTGAATCAAATTAATAGATAAGTAATATGGCTGAGGAAAAATAAACGCAATATATCGTTGTGATTCATAAAAAGAGACAGCAGATCCCCCAGAAAACGTGTGTCAATCGTTCTCATCTCATCTATAATGGCATAGAATTTGCACATGACGATTCGTCACCTAATATATAATGATGGAAGTAGAGATGGGCAAATGCCAAAGTGAGTACTGAGTCCCGAGTATTTTACTCAACTATTGACTTTCCGGATTCTGATTACGGTACTCAGATATTCAACATGCCCGATTCTGATAATTTTACTCAAATGTTGAACTGCACAACTTTGAGTATTTTACTCAAAAAGCTGTCCTGCCCCACTTTGAGTACTTATGTAACGCCCTATTATAATTTATAGTTTCAAGTACCAAATGCACATAGCTAAATATATAAATTATATTGATATATGTGCCATTGTTCTGATAACATTAATATTGTTAAATGTATACTTTAAATCCCGTTGTACGTATACTTCTATTTAAAACTTTCATAAACAGTTTTACAATATATTTTTGAATAGTGATTTTTTAAAAAATAAGCTCCGTTTTTAGATTACGCCACTGTGTTTTGGCTTATTTCAGTCGTTCGGATGTCTTCCATATGATCTTCGATTTTTATGTTTTCGGAGCCGTAGTTTTCAAAACTGATGTCCATTTTATGATTTCCCCACAGCATTTCGACTTATTTGAGTTTTTAGGATTTCTTCCATATTAGGTAGGGTATATCTATATGTTTTATGAGCAGTAATTTTCAAAACTGATGTCCATTTTATGATTGCGCCACTGCATTTAGACTTATTTGAGTTTTTTAGATATCTTCTGTATATTTACTTACTTATTTACTACGTAGCTCTACAGCGCAGGATGGGCCTTGGTTTCGCTGAGAACATTGCGCCAGTACTCTCTGCACAATGCTTTTCTCCTCCAGTTCCTTATACCGAGACTTTCCAGGTCTTTTTCCACATCTTGAATCCAACGTCTCCGGATTCGTTTCCTCCTTCTACTATCATACATCTTTCCCAGCTGAATTATTTTTTGCATTCTTGATTAATTCATTAGTGCTACTTGACCCAACTATTCAATTCTCCTTCCTCGTATGAAACGGACAATGTAACAAGATCCATTTAGTTCGCTGTTCTCCTGGATTCTCCATTCACACTTTCAACACAGGTCGATAAATTTTACGGAGAATTTTCCTCTCGAAGATTTTCAAAGCATTGATTGTGGAGATGCAACGGGTCCTAGTTTCCGCAGAATATGTCACTACTGGTTTTACTAATGTTTACAACATTTTTTTGTGGTTCGAGACAACAAAAATTTTATCTTTAACATTTTAAATTATAGCAGGACTTCATAACACAATAACAGTATTTCATCTAGATTTACCTGGCCGTTCAAGGCTTTTAACCTATATTGTATGATTTTTCTTTTTATTTTGTCTGCAGTTTTGTAGAAGGTTTGACAACTACGGCTCCTAAAATATATAACTAGACCCTCACAAGAAAGAAATCCAAAAAACTCCAAGAAGTCGAAACGCAGTAGCGTAATAATAACATGTACACCATTTTGAAAAATACGGTTCCGAAAACCTATAAATAGACCATCACAAGAAAGAAATCCAGAAAACTCAAAGAAGTGGAAACGCAGTAGCGTAATAATAAAATGGACAAAATTTTTGAAAACTACGGTTCCGAAAATATATAAACAGACAACCATATGGAAAAAATCCGAAAATCCCAAATGAGTCAAAACGCAGAGACATAATCATAAAATGGACACCATTTTTTAAAACTAGGGCTTCGAAAACATGTGAATATACCCTCTTATATAATAAGTCCGAAAAACTCAAATAAGTCGAAACGCAGTGGCGTGATGGACACCAGTTTTAAAAACTAAGGCTCCGAAAACATATGAACAGACCTTCATATGGAAGAAATACAAAAAACTGAAATACGTCAAAACGCAGTGCCACCGCCCCCCCCCCCATCCCACGTCACTATAAATTGCATATTATTGTGCTCCTTGTAACTATTTATTAAAAAAAGCTAATGTTCCCACAAAAAAGTGTTAAACGCAAGGCAACAAAATGGAGTCCAAACATGGCGGAATGACGACTTTGAATTTAGTTAGTTTTTTGGTCACTGAGGATCAGCATTAGGCCTAATTTTGTCATATTTGGCCTTTTATTAAAGCTAGATAAACAGAAAATAATAAACGTGAAAAAAAAAACACCTTAGTGTGCCTAAGGCAATAAAAAACACCAGCAAAGTCAATTTTTTTAACAAAATGGTTTTCAAGTTGAAAATCAAGCGGCGTTTGTAATTAAACAGACTACAATAACGGAAAACATGGTATAATAAAAATCTGGAAAATATATTTTTCTTTCTAAAACACTGATTACTTTTTAAAATATTTGATGCAGTTTTGTAGAAAATGCACTTAAGCTGCAAAAAAGCGCTACGGGCGTAGGTGCCTACAGGCCTCTACCGCACCATTCAGAACTCATAAATGGCTTAGTTATAGTGCTCTAATAACATTTTTGGTACATTATATTGATTGTATTAACGAACAAATTTCGCGTTTTCATTCATTTTGAGACCATACACTATGTACTACTGATACTAACAATCAGTTTCGGTTACCTAAAAGAACTTTTTGGTTTCGCCCTATCCATTTTTCTTTGTGCAGGGAGAATAATGCATTCAATATTAAAATTTCTTATTTTTTGATGATATGGTTCAACTTCCGAACAAAATAATGGAAATAAAAATTAATTTTTTGATTAGTTATATATGAGTTTTACTAAGCAACCCGGCAACTATTCATTATATGTAGTTCAGATTAGGTATATATTATTTTGGTTTATAAAACAAGTATTAATATGACTCATTTCTGGAGAATTACATACATTTTAAATTATCTCTAAGAATTAGTATACTATATACTAAACAAAATGTTAAATTGCAAACGTTAAATAAAAATTTAAGATATTCAGCAAAGTATTTTATTATTGTATGTACTATTATTGTATTCTTCGAGCATACTAAGATACATATGTAAATTAATTAAAGTAAATATTTATCCACTCTTTTATTATTATTTTTTTTCATTAATAGAATGGCATGACAACAAACGTTATTTGTCGCTCATTTATAATTCATGGCTTATTGTTTACTTCTTTTATCCCTTATTTTTAGTTGTTTTTTTTATTTTTTATTTTTTTATTGTAATATGCATTTTGGCCAGAGGTAATGTTAATTTTATGTACAATATTGTTATTCTCAAGGGACTTTGTCCCAGAATAAAATTGATTCTTCTATTCTATTTTTGAATTAAGTTTTATTATTATAATTATATCATTTTTACAATAGAGGCCTTCTCAAAAGAACCCTGTATAGAATAAAGGGAGTTAAATTAAAAAAAAAAAGGTAAAATAATAAATTTAAAAAAAATTGTTTATATTTTTTGAACAATTATTATTGTATTAATATTTGTAAGTTAATACAATCAATATAATGAACCAAAAACGTTATTATAGCACTATAACTAAGCCATTTATGAGTTCTGAATGGTGTGAGGGAGGCCTTTAGGCACCTACGCCAGTACCGCTTTTCTGCCGCTTAAGTGCATCTTCTACGGAACTGCTTCTAATCCTTTAAAACATAATATTTTTTCACGTTTTATTATTCTCTGACTATACAGTTTTAATAAAATGCCAAATATGACGAAATTAAGCCTAATGCTGATTCTCAGTGACCAAAAAACTAACTGAATTCAAAGTCGTCAGCCCGCCATGTTTGGACGCCATTTTGGGGCAGTGCGTTCACTTTTTTTGTGGGAACATTGGCTTTTTTTTTAATAAATAGTTACAAGGAACACAACAATATGCAATTTATTGGAATGTGGGGGGGAGGCGGTGCACGGTAGGGGGGTCTGGCCCACCGTGTAAATAAGCAGAATCGAGGAAGTCAATGATCGAG